TTTCTAGGTTCAGTTTGAATTCTATGTTTCAAATTCTTGATTCTATTGTCTAAATCCGTATTTTTGGCTTTTAGCAAACTAAACAGAGCACTGCCTATTGTTTTGCCGGGTGGAATATTGGTTTCTACATGATTAAAAATTTTAGTAGTAATCATGTCAGATTGTTTAACCAATTCTCCTACATCTATAGAGGATTCTAGCGTCCAATAACCATTCGGTACACATATCGGATACATTTCTTCCAAAACAACGCCAACGCTACTGGGAAAGTTGCGTATGGGGGATGTCTTATCAAATCTATTTAAATTTGATGATGTACCTTTGTTGTTGATGGGGATTTCCTTAATCGTGAGGAAAAAAGACACATCCATGATACATATACAAATGTATATTTCCAAAATTTTTCTATACACTTCCATAATTTTTCTTTACAATCTCAAACGAATGTTAACCCTTCGATGGCGGACTGCGTACTGGTCATTGCACAGTTTTTTCACTCTTTTGGGGACTCAGTCTTTTTTCGGGCTCACTTGGCCTCAAGCAGTTCAGCCATGCGTGCCTGCTGCCTTGTCAGCGGTCGTTGCCATGAGGTTTTCATTTCTTTCTTTGGCCTTGTTCTGGTTGGCAACACATTATCTGGGTTTAGATGATGTAGCGAGGGGCAACCCATTGGATTTAAATCTAACTTCCTTTTCCGTTTGTTGTCCCTCTCTTTCTCTGTTTCGTCATCATCCTCTGCTGCTTCACCTTCCTCTTCTTTGTCTCTAGACTGGGTGGACGACCTTCTATCCTTTTTCTTGCTGTCTCTCTTTTCCTTGAACTTTTTCCATTTCTCCTTGTTTCTTACCTGCCTTGGAGTTAATGCAACTGCTCCTTCTGCCTCTCTTTGCAACGTTCTTTCAGGTGTTCTTTCGGGTGTTCCTCCATCTCTTCCTACTGTCAGTTGCTTCATCAATTCTGGTGTGCTAGAGGTGGGTGGCGGACCTTTCTGAAGGACAGTTTCGGATAGGCTTGGTAGAGTATCCGTAGTGGTATCGAAAAATCTTCCTATTTTGTCAGTGACTTCCCCGAATATTTCTTTAGTCTTTTGAAATAAACCTGTCTTTCTTTTGGGTGACGCTGGTATTACTGTTGCATCTAAATCTGGCACTGATACGAAAGAGTCTTCTTCTTTGGACTGCAAAGCTGACAAATCCTGTTTTTCTCTGGATTCTTTTTGCTTTTTCAATATGGATTTGATAGCCTGTTTATCCACGGGATGTTTATGGATTTTAGAACCAAGAGTTTTCCTCCTCTGTTCTCCTCCAGTGGTTGTTGTGGCTACAGCAGTTTCTTCTTCTTCATCCGTTTCCCACTGCTTTTCTTTGGTACTCTGTGGGGACATAAGTTTAAAATCAGAACGGACCACATCGCAATCCCATATTTGGCTCAACAAAAGAATAGCGACAGCTGGAGAGCAATCGGTTGGTTCATGGCCCTCAACGAATATGAATACACCAAAAGGGTCCAGTTGCTGACTTCTTTAAAATATCAAGTAATTACGAACAAGGTTTTTAAAAATAGCATCAGTTTAGCAAGCAGGGTGGAACTGGTGAGGACCGTCGTATCTTGTACGGTCGTACGTAACTGATGTGAATTACGTCTGTCCAGTCTGGGTTTTTGTCATCCTGTACCCTGATTACTACAGGGTTGATTCTATTGATGACTGTGTATGGTCCTTTGTATTTCGGGGACCATTTTCTGCCTACAAATGTAGCAGCGTCATGACGTAGTATCCAAACCTTGTCGCCAATCTCGTAGTTGGCGCCCTTCTTATGGATATTTATCCTATCTAGGTACGACGCTTGGTTTTTCCTGATGGCCTTCTGGGCACGATCGCGTATTACCTCGAATTCCTCTTTTCTGCTTTCATTCTTGATCTTGTCAAGCTGCGCTTTGTCCATGTACATTGGATTCCAATAATTACGAGGCTTCATGCCCGTAACTACTTCAAAAGGTGAAGCCTGTAAGGCCTCGTGTTTTGACGAATTATGCACCCATGCAGCGAACTTTAATAGTTCGTCCCACGTTTGCCTGTTATCCGGATCCAAATACAAAGCTAGATATTCGTGCAGTTTGCGATGGGCTCTTTTGTTTTGCCCATTTCCTTGCGGTCGATATGCAGTGGTCGTGGTGGCCTGTGCCCTGATGAATCTGGCCATGTCCCAAAATATGCTGCTCAAGAAGTTTGTCCCCCTATTGATTAATATCTTCTTTGGGGGTCCAAATAAACAAACCCAATCGCTTAAAAACAATCTGGCTGTTGTTAATGCAGAAGCCTCCCTCATTGGGGAGAACACTATCCAATGGGACAATCTGTCCTGGATAACCAGAATATTGCGATTACCTTTTGAGCTACTTGGGACCGGTCCTACTACGTCCATGCTTACCTCTTCAAAAAATTGTTTCGGTACGCCTGTTGTCATATATGGCGTTCTATGGGCGTAGTGCTTATTAGCTTGACATACTTCGCAGGATCTGATGTAATCGCCCACATCTTTTTCTAAATTGGTCCAGGCGAATTCCTGACAAAGCGCGTACGTTGTTCTGTCCATTCCGCTGTGTCCCATTGCCAGGGGATCGTGAAACAGCACAATGATTCGCAGGCGCAGAGAGGGCGGGACCCAGATACGCGAGCCCTCTTTCTCTTTTTTGATGATCAGTCCCTCCTGCTTGCTGTATTGTTTGCCTGCGGGGGCGTTGCCCACTTTCTCTGTCTCTTTCGCAATGAGATCCCTGGAAATATATGGCAACAAATCCGTTCTCTTGAACGCGGGTGACAGATATGCTCATAGTTTTTTATTTTTCTCCGGTGGGAACCTGCTTAGAGCATCCGCGTGTGGAATGCTCAGCCCTCTTTTGTATTTGATGGTGTATTCATATTCGTTGAGGGCCATGAACCAACCGATTGCTCTCCAGCTGTCGCTATTCTTTTGTTGAGCCAAATATGGGATTGCGATGTGGTCCGTTCTGATTTTAAACTTATGTCCCCACAGATATGACCTGAATTGGGACACCCCATAATATACAGCTAGGAGTTCTATCGGTGTTCGAGTATCTAGACTCGGCTCCATTCAGAGTTCTTGATGCGCATCCTATAAGGACTTCTTTCTTGTCCTTTTTCTGAGTGAGGATTGCACCAATTGCATGTCCTGACGCGTCTGTTGTTAGTATGAATTCTTTGTCAAAGTCAGGGAAGGACAGGATTGGGGCGTCTAGAAGACATTGGGTTAAACATTTCTTTGCTTCTTCTTGCTCTTTTCCCCAACTAAAATCCATGTCCTTTTTTAGTAGGCTATATAAGGGTCTCGCTTTCATTGCAAAATCCTTAATATAAGATCTGAAATAACCTACCAAGCCAAGAAAAGCTTGTACGCCTTTGATATTTTTCGGCATAGGGAAGTTTTGGACAGCATCCGTTTTAACGGGATTTACTTTAATACCTTTGTTGCTGATTAAAAATCCAAGATACTCAATCTGCGTCTTAAACAGTTGAGACTTTGAAAACTTTATTTTTAAACCAGATTTGTTTAATCTGCAAAGGATATCTTCCAGATGGGCTACGTGTTGTTTGGCCATTTTGGAGTAGATCACTATGTCATCCACGTAAATGTACGCATATGATCCTAAACATCCATCCAACAAGAGGTGCATTAAACGTTGGAAAATACTAGGGCTGTTTTTCAGACCCATGGGTAACCTCACAAACTCGTAATGGCCCATGGGGGTGGAAAAAGCGGTTTTCCACCTTTTGTCTTCTCTAATTTTGATATTGTAAAATCCGTGCAATAAATCGAGGGCAGAGAAAAACTTTGCCGATCCTAATTCTTCAAAAATCTGACTAATTCGCGGTAGAGGATGTGGGTCAGTTATCACGTGCTCATTGAGCTTACGGAAATCGACTACCATCCTCCATCCTCCATCCTTCTTCTTGACCATTAAGGTTGGGCTGTTATACGGAGAAGTGGAGGGTTGTACTATTTCATCATCAAGGAGATCCTCGACGTATTCTCCTAACAATGACCTCATCTCGTACGGGATATGGTACTGTCGGGTATAAATTGGAGAATCCGTGTCAAGAGGTATGTCTGCCTCATACATGGGACATAGTCCGAGCTGGTCAGATTTCTTTGCCAGCACATTCCGATATTTTAGCAGCATTTTCTGGACTATTTCTACGTATTCTGATGGACATTTGGATGAGTTTAAATTCTCATCGATTAACTGTTCTCGATTCTCTTTCTCTAGCTTCCCATGTATTTTGTTCTTGGCATCATTTGCTGCTGATCTTTTGGTTGTAGAAAAAACTTTCTTTGTTCGTTGCGTCATCACTCGGGTGGCCATCGCAATACTGTTGATGGACCCTATGCCAACTGTCATTTGCGGGGTAACTTGTACATCCCGGTCAGTGACGTTCAGGCATAAAATCCTGATTTTGCCTTTTTGCACTTTTGAAAGGCTTTTCGCGACAATGATTCCCCCATTCTGGAAGTTATCAACTAAGATGGATCGGTCTTCAAGAACGCGGCCTATATCCTTGCTAGGTCTCACCCAGAGGACAGACTGAGAATTTTTTGGTATAGTGCAAGTGTTGACCGGGTACACTCGGAAAGATGCTTCTTTCTGTCCTGATATTTTGTACACTTCCTTTCGGAGGTGAAAGCCTTTATCTCTTTCCGAGAAGAAAGGGATACAGACTTTGGACATGATAAGGCACTTCTTCCCAANGAGTAAGTCCTTAAACCACAAGATCGCATCTAAAGATCCCCAAACGGGTATTTTCTGATCTTCTATGGTCGACAGTGTCAAACCAGGGGTGTGCGTAACAGAATCACTAGTTACAAATAAAGGAGAAATTAACGATACCTTGGATCCTGGGTTGATGAGGAACTTGACAGGGACAGCAGTTACAGATGTGGAGAGTAGGATGACCGGAAGCTTCGGGGATGTGGAAGATCCGGTCAACAGTCGTTTCCCAACTCGTTGCCTGTGACTTCCTTGATCCCTTTGATTTGCAGGCCATCTAGCTGCTCCTTGGAGGTGAATTGTACATGGATACTTCTATCCGTGTGCACTGAGTGACTGCTGGAGGGAGATCTAGCTCCCTTGCGTCCCTTGCCTCGTTGGCCCTTTCCCTGGCCCCTTGCTTGGCCAGGGCTCGACAATCGAGAATCGGGACTTTTGCTGCGACTCGGGGATCTACCATCTCGGGATCCCCTAGTCACGCGAGGAAGCCCACTGTCAGCTGGTAAAGAGAGCATTAGTCTTCTCCCTCTCGGGGGAGGTAAAGCCTTTTGCTCTCCTTGGTAGCCACTCACACTGTTTCCTATCTGAACTTTGCCACATGCCCTACATTCCGTCACATAGTGACCTGGTTTTCTGCAATTATAACACGTACGCACTACTTGACTAACGCTAGTGGTTACAGCTGAAGTACGAAAAACTCTTCGAGACTCGGCCGTCTGTTGAAATTTTCTTAATTTTTCAACATTGGTGGCGGCCTCTATTGCTTGCTCTAACGTTACAGGAACGACGCTGAATCTCTTTATGAAATCAGGTTGTAAGCCTGCCATAAAGTGACTCAGCATGATCTCATCTATTTGAGCCATGCGACATTCGTGTTGCAAAGTTTCTTCAGCTAACATAGGGTTAGCGACTATTTTAGGCTCAGAGTTTTCAACTCGTAAAACCTTGATCTTACTGGGGCCTTTGCCCAACATCTCTAGTCCAATTTTCTTAATGCGTACCAAATAATCAAGGATGTTCTCTAGGTCACCTTGCAAGATTTTCTGCAGTTTTAACACGCCCAAACCCATCAAATCACCACCGTATGCCTTTTCAAGAGCTCTTACTATCGTAGGATAAGGTTGGTCTAGTAACCCTGGGGTTGCGTTGTTTAAAAACTCTTTCGCTTTTCCAGTGACTCTCTGGCGTATTACTGATTGCATATGTACATTGGTCACCTCGCAAGCGGCTAGANAGGCTGTGGTCGGATACTCAACTGAGTTAGTGGTCGTGCGTAAGTGAAGGGTGTTGTGGTCGTTAATATGACTACAACTTATATTTTTGAATTTCATGGAGTGTCTTGCAATTCAAATGATGTGCAATTTGATCCTGGTTTGGCAACAGATTAGGGTTGAATTGCAAGGTACCACTTGTACAAAATTCAGGTTTATTTTGGCAAAAATGTTTTAACCCACAAGGGTGCTGGCACTCCTCTTTTCAGGAATTGATTTCTTCATGTAGAGCTATTCAGTTTACTGCATATATACTGTATACAGCTTATATTGAGCACCCCTTCTGTAAAGATTATATATATGTCTTATTTAACTAATCAATTAAAAGTTTGTACATATCTACTATTAAATGATTACATGACCTATTTAGTCTAGCGTATTATGCTAATTATATCTGAACTTTGCTCAGTCAAGAATTCCTTACCTAGCTGGTGATTGGACCCAAGAGCTCTTTCATGAAAGTCCAACCTCATAGTCAGACAGCTACAGTACACTTTTCAAAGAGACAAAATTTCTTAATGTAGCTTTATTCCAAAAGTGTCCAGACACTGGCACCAGAAACTAATAGCAGACAAGTTCCCAAAACTTGTCTGCAAATTATCCAAAATTGGCATATAAGTTTGCGGACAAGTTTGGAGAATCTGTCCGCCAGAGAATTGTACTTGCTGGTGGACAAGTTCTCCAAACTTGTCCACCAGATCAAATTTTTGTTTTTGCACAAATTCTCCAAAAAATGTACAAAACTCGTACAAATAATTTCCAAAAATGTCCATGGAACTCATTTGGATGAGTTTTGGACATTTTTTGGAGAACTTCTTGCTCACTGGGAGAATGGAAACTTTAAAATAATTTATTTCAGCAGGTAAAAAATGTGTCTGCAGTGTATTTAAAAGCCAAATCTAATTTTTCATCACATAATTTCAACTGCTATTGTCTCTCTGGAATTTCAGATAAAGATACAAGCCTTCATTAATATTTTTTATAAATTGATTATGCTGAAGATTTCCTGCAGCTAGGCTGACAAAAATGTATCTCAGACCAGCAAACAATATATAGCTTATATACAGAGAACTGGCCAATCAGATGTAAAATGCATTACAATAATAATTTGGATTTGTTTCTTCTGTTTTATGAAATAGATGGTTTAAAATGTTGCCCAAATGAATATTGCTGAAAGGCCCAAGGCCCCGGCAAACTTGACTGAGAGGAGTGAAAGCCAAAACGTTTCAATTACTGCACTTTAACGTGTATTCGTATATAGTTTTAAAAGAATTGGCCGAGAATTAATTCGGAATTTGAATAACTGCTTCATCTGGGACAGTCTGCCTCCAAGAAAAGTCTCCTGCGCAAACAATTGAGCTGATTGATAGAAAAAGCATTTCTTCGCTGTGCAAGTGTCAACCATAGCCAGCAGATACTTTCCGGAGAAGATCATGCAAACTCCAGCAAATATTTCAAACGTAACAAAAGCCTTATATACCGGACGTATTATAATTTTCTTGATAAAATGTCGGAATAATCGAAAGTAGAAATTATTTCATCCTTGAATTTATTTTTCACTTGATTACCGGGTTTATTATAACATGTTCATTTATCGTAAAAATTAATTAATTAAAACGTAGAAAATGAAGCCATAAATCATTCTCACAAAAAAAAGAATCATGCCTTTGCTTTTTTTGGAAGACTCTGCGTCAGCTGTGCTTACTTGAGTATTATGCCCCCTGGCTCTCTTACACAGGTTCACAGTAGATTTAATGCTCCAGATTATGAGACATTTTATCATCGGATTATTTGTTTAATGGATTTTCCTTGTAAATTTTTGCAAAAGGATTTAAAAATTTTAAATTTGTGAGGTTCATACAAATTCAACACTATATCCAGTATATGTGTGTGAGAAGAGAATCCACGTATATATACTGTACTGTAGTAATTCTTTGATTTTTTCAGGTTTATATTTGAATAAATTTGGATTTAAAATATGCATGAAAATACTTCTTTTTTGAATACATTCCTCCCTTATTCTCAGTCAGTTTACCGATTATGGGCGTCATCTCATTGGACGGATCAAGGTATTCGTTGCCAGCAGCACCCACGTAAATTGAAGTATTGTTCAGCATCACTCTGAGGACCAGGTCACGCGGACCGGAAGTGGCTTGGATCCAGAAATCTTGCAAAGAAACTGTATCCCACGAAAAGTTCCTCCAAATGTCCACGTTGTTGACCATGTCCTCGCTCCTGCTGATGTTGAGTCCGTGAGCCTGAACCACTGTTTTGTTGAACTTGTAATGGTAGTCGGGACAAACGGTCAAAGCCGGGAACGGGATTTTCTCCACCACTTCGATCCGGCTTCTGGACGCGATCGGGGGATCGATCAGTCGAAGTATGCAAGTTGGGACCTGCATGATTTGTCAAAATCAATTCATTTATTTTTCAACGAAAGATGAAGATTATTCACACTTTGAGCGTTTTTCATATGTTACGCGTCGCTGCTGTTTCACGAATTAATTCAGTAGAAACCCGTCACAATAAATAGAAGATTTCACGAACATTTTTTTGTGAATCGAAACGGTTCTGCTAATTTACGAGAAGAAAAATTGTCCGAGTTTTTTCTTTGCATTATTTCTGAGGCGATTGAAAGAAATTACATATTAAGAAGCATTAAGAAGCAGTTTATAATTAAAATTCAGCATTTATTTGTCCCAAGTATTTCAGCATTGCAGAGCTTGTTTATATTACAAAAAATACTTGTAATATCCATATTGAATCATTATCCGCGGTTCTATACGGATAATTTCATGTACAGTACAATGTATCGTAAATATGACACTTTAAAAATCCTCTTCATATAATTCTCCTCGAAGAAATGTTATACATTTAGTTTGCATACGTTTCCTTTACACTGAAATCTTGTTACAACCGAACCATCATTCGGACCAGTACAAAAGCTTCGTTGTAACTAAAAATTCTTTATAAAGTAACATATTAAGGTAATTGGGTAGAGATACCTAAAAAAGATTTTGTTGTAAAGAATTTTTCGTTGTAATGAGATTTTACTGCACAAGATTTTCGACTCAATATGGCAAATCTAGGCAGAGGAATCCAGAAAAACCCTTGCAACAATACAGCAGGTTCTTCAAATATTCTGACGGCAATGGAAAATACATTTTGTAATGGAGTTGCATTCGTCCAAATATTTCATGTCACGGGTTAATTTTTGAGAAAGTAAAAATTCCTCTTTTAAATTTTATTAAAGTAAACCTGGATGACGAGAACGAGGGTACAAATGGCGACGACGCAGCACGAGACGAATCGCCGTAGCGACATGTAAAATGACCTGACGCCGAATTCCTTAGTCTCATCCTTCTCTTCTCGTCGTGTCTCATCAAATTTTTCGGTTTTTTGGGACATTTTCTCTTATTCTTTTGTTTTCATTCGCTTTCACGTCAAAAAATCAGGGCTGAAAATGCGTTGCTGCTCCTTATTATTCCTCGTCATCAGCAGTCAGGAAAAGAACTGCTGGTGGTTTCCTCGAGCATGTGGACACTCAGCTTCGCCATCAATACGGAAAACAAAAGGTCATTCGTTTTCATTGACCGCTGGACCGGCGTAGGCGGAAAATATTTTTTAAATTGATGATCCATCATTGAAATTAATTTGCACCATGGGATGTGCCAAAAATTCTTGCTTATTTCTCCTCACATACCCTGACTAAGCTGCACAGAAGAGTAGCATGCCTTATTGCTATTATTATCTGTAATATAAAATGAGCCGTTCTAAATATTTTCGGATCTTCTGCCACGTGGCAACGAGAATAGAGAACATTTTGAATACTATCTTTAATGAGAAAAATAGGCCTTACACATTCGTGATTAATTTATGGAAGACCTTAGCAGACGTAATACAGTTTGCTGTATATTATTGCATTGTTGTACATACTGCGGACAAAAAACAATTTTCTATTCAAAAACAGAGTGACAAAAATGCGTGGTTTGAGACTGCGTTTTTATCAGATCTGATTCATGAAGAGCATTCGATTTACCGCTTTGTATACATACAATATTGTACAGTACAGTACTGCGTGTACAGTATTTGGAAAGCTTCGGCATTTTAAATTTTTAAGCATGCACTTATAATTTTAGAAAGTTTTCCATGCATATATCTGTCATCTTTGAATTTTTGCCGATAATATACAAGAACTTGTATGGTATATATATATATATACCGCTGAACATTCATAGCTTATATAGAACCTGCCTGGATTTGCATTTTTCCGAGCAATTTCATCCATCAAAACAGCAAATAAGAAACTTTAACTCACTATGCAGAAAAATCACGCTTGATGTATATATACAGAGGTTTAATGACATTATTAGAAGGAAACTTCCCAAAATGATTTGCAATCTGCAGCAATTTTTGAAATGTTCAATTTCTCAACAGCATTGAACATGCAGTACACTATAGTTAGTTCATTGAATTTTAAAAATGAAACTGAAGGCAAACTCAACCACATTTGTTTGACATTGCGCTGGCTCAAATATTGTCCAAATTGTACGGATTCTCAACTGTAAAACTTGCGAATGGCCTTGTCTTCAAATTACTGCAAGAAGAACTATTCATACAGATATTATTCGAACTGCAGCAGCTTCCCTGTATGTACCTATTGCATCGTATTTAATAAATCATTGGAACAACAAAAAACAGGAAATCAGCAATTTTGCCAGTCCTTAGAGAGTTTTCATTTTAGAAAAAAACAGGGAATTGTAAGTGGTACCTGTCCTCTTACAATGCTTCAAGTTATCATGATTATTCACAGGATCATCCAGTTGAGTAACATCATTTGAAGAAAAAGTATTTTAAACCAGCGAAAAATTGGATACGTTCCACAAACAGAGATACTGTAGATTTTTAGGCAAATTCTACCCCAAAAAATTGCAGTGCATGTCTTACTCAAATAGGACATTTGGTACTCAATTAAGCGAATACAGTCATTCATTTGATGGGACATTACACCAGAGGACATCACAGTTCAAATACTATTTTTTATCTGATGCATAAAATTCTTATTCTTCTTAGAATGATGATGTAATTCATATGCTTTGATTATACAAAAAGGCGACCAGCAGTCGATTCTACTTCTACCACGTTGGCGCCATTGAGTCTAAATACAGCAGGAATTCGCGAAGGCATGCAAATAAAAAGATGAGGAATGTGATGAGTCAAGATTTATTCCCTTCTACCAGTTCTGGTTCGAGCACACACATTTCCCTGGATGCACAATCAATGGACGGATTCGATTTCAATGCCTTCAAAACTCCGGCATCGGTCGATTGTTCCTCATTCATTTGAAATTTATTCAGGCAGGACTGGATAAAAAAAAACGGAAGTAGGCGTCAGTGAAAAGTGCAATACTTTTAAAACTCACAAGGAAGACATGAAACGATCTAAAAAAAAAATGGTATACAGCTACACAAAAAAAACAAGGTTGCACAACCATCGTTAGGACTGAATTTTTTTTTCCTCGTTGACTTGCATCGCTTTTTAGTATCGTTCCAGATGCAACACAGGCATCGGTAATGAGGAACAACTACCAACTCGAGGGGGTTCTAACACGGATGCGGAAAGCAAAAACATTTGGGGCGCACCGAGCTGGAACCACGACTGACAATTGGCCTCATTCATAGCATGGATCACAACACAATTACCGTAACGTTCCGACGATTACAAACGGAAGTGAGTATCAAAATGCAAACGCAAGATCAAACTTCAACACTCAATCAGAACATTCACTCTTCCTCTCCTTTTTTTTCTTCACCAGTAAAGTACCTATCTTTCTTGTTCTCGTGTACTAATTACAATTTACCGTTGACTACCTAGAAAGTGAGGAGACAACTAGCAGCCGGGTCATTTGATCACTTCGGAGCAATCCGAAAGAGAGAGAAACACGATGGAAAAAGGAAATCGCGTTGGGTGCTTTTTTTTCATTCGCTATTTTTAACGCTAGAACTCTCGATGTAACTAAAACTGTTTGTTGATTAACTTCCAAGGCATTAAAAGTTAGAAAACAAAAATCAACGGGAGGAAACTCAAGACTACACTCTTCAGCACACCCGACGAGTGCCACAATTGCAGCAAAATTTGGCTGAAGACACAGGATACTTGGCACCGCACTCATGGCAAAAATGTGGCATTGTGGCTCCAGTTACGCTGCTATTTTGAGTAGGAGTATCAAAGAGTGCCAATGATCCCATTTCGGAGGCAATATTGGTCACGACGCTGTGCGATGCCGAAATGACATCGTCATCGGATTCTCCACTACCTGATTTCCCGAGGATTCTGCAAAAAACAAAAAATGTTGACAGTGACGAGGATTATAATTTCAAAAATCTATAACCTTCACTTACCGGGCATTATTCCGGTTAAGCATTCCACTTAAAAGCTTTGGCGTTTTGGTTGTGGAAAGAGGAAAAAGCCTCGACTCAAATTTAGGCTTGGACTCTCTATTCGGAAGGTCGGAGAAATGCTTGATTGGGGCGGGATTGAATCCAGTCTCCGTTTTTGATAACCCGATGTCTTGCGGCACTTCCTCCCTGAAAATACAAAGAAAAAATCCTTCAATGCCTACGAAAACAAAAGAATAATGACTATTCTGCTGAACCTTTCAAGAGAAAACTGTTGTTCGATGAGAAAGGCAAGAATAGGGGGGTACAATGGACACGCACGATCAATTTATTGAATGAATCGACTTACGATTTTCTCTCCTTCGGCAAATCGAAGTTTGTAATCGCAGTAGAAAATGGTCCCGAGGAATCAAAAATATCATCACTCTTGGGTTCCTTCTCTGTTGGTTGATTGCTACCGTTCTTAATGCCCCCATAAAGCATCTCTTGTAACGATGGAGGAGGACAGGTCGATTTTCGCATCCCATTTTTAGTCGTAGGTAGAGACAAGAGATCAGACGCCATCAACTCATTGAGGAGAAATTCATCAGACGCTTGGGTTACCGGAGATGGCGAGCGTCGTGGGATCTTGGACCTATTCGAATTAAATTATAAATATACAATACAATAATGAAACTTTTCATACGAACCACTGTACCAATAATACACGCGAAATATACTCCTTCCAGAAGTGAGGGAGCACCGAATTTCATAAAAAATAGGAATGTTCCTCGACCCAGACGATTCAATCTTCATGTGCGAAGAAGTGTGATACTAATACAAGTTGACTCTCTCAGAACAATCTTTTCTTCAACAATTTTCTCAGCATAACAAATATTGTTTGGTCTCATAGGATTCTCTCACCGCATTTTCGGGGTTCTCTACAGCAAAGCGTTCTCTACAATGATTTTGGTTCTGGTCCCTTGACTTTCGTTGCAGAGAGAGAGTCCACCCGTAGATAAACTTCGTAGACTGGCTTTCACAAAACTTGAAAGGTGCACAGAGTGCACGTACAGTAGAATCTCGGTACAACAAATAGCGTTATAAATAATTAATGCTGACAAAGAATTCTTATTTTTTTGATACACGTCCAATAGCCTCGATCTTATTTTAATTTCGTTCCACATAATTTTCATTTATAACGAAGGATTTTTTTAAGGTCCCACACGCTGCTGTGTATCGAGATTTTCATGTATTTTGTATTTCACTGTACTAATGCGTACACGAAATGTCTAAAATTTTGACAGGCAAATGACGAACCCATTGAAAGAAATTATTCTGATGAAGACACAACGTTCTACAATGATTCGAAACTTATCAAAAAGGCCGACCAAAAACTAAATAGTACAAATACTGTACTTCAATGAAAACACACCTTCACATAAAATAAATTGCCAGAAAAAACGACAAACAAGTTGAATTAACCTTAGAGGCACACAATATGATGTTTACAACGTCACTTCGAAAAAGTAATCCGACGTTGAAGTTGACACACCTTTACAAACTTCCAAGCGTCAGTTTTCAGTACTTAATTTATATGACGCTCAATACGTTTATCATCTCCAGTGTAAAAAGAACAGATGCAAAATTTGAACATGTGAAAAGCTTTATAACAGTGTATACATCTCAGAAACAAGAACACTAACCTTCCAGAAGAAGGACGAAAGCCGAAGGAATCGGATCCCAAGCTACGCGACATCAGAGGGGTACCTGGCAACGATAAATCCCCGAGAGATGTCGTGGACGATGACATCAGCAATTCCTCCAGCTGGCGAGCAGCATTTTCATGCAACAGACTCCGATGAACCTCATAGCCGTCCCTGCGGAGAATGAAACCTAACGTCACGATTCACTCAGAATGTCAACGAGAAGTACCATTCGACTAATTGACATAAAGGTTTGACATCAACAACGGAAACAAGACAACAAGCAGAAATGCGACCAACAAAAACATCGATAAAGTCACTCGAAGCTGAGTGAACACTAAAGCGACGATCCAACATGAGTTTTTTTCCAAATACGATGACGCAACGAAGAAGTATGCAACATGCAGTCGGCGATGAACACACATCCAAGACTTGTTTTCCCATGCACCGAGTAGATTTTATTCCATCAACAAAAAATGTTGGTCCCACAGTCTTCGTAGATCATTTCGTGAAACGTAACTCGAAATCTACATCAAATCTTGGGGAAGGCGTCCGAATTCCCGAATAAAAAAAATAGATTTCCTAGTCAGGAAGACTACTTCGAACTTCACGTCATGCAATAATGTACGAAAGGTCATCCACTTTTACAAACCCAATGCCAAAATTAACTATTCAAATGAATGTTGCAGTGAATAAGGTTACAAAAATCAATGTGCAAAATGTGCTTCCATCCCAAGCTCAATATTTTCAAGGAAAAACCTTGTCAATGTAGCCACAATGAAAGGCCCAATTTTTGCCAATTCTGGCATGGATTTCCAAGCTGGCCCAACCATCGCAACTTGCACACTTGCATCACAAGTTTGTACACCTTTCCTTTCCTTACTACTTCTTGAAGAGCTTGACGAAGATGATGAACTTATTCCTGACTCAGATCTATTCCTCCTAGCTTTTAGTGAAGACTTGAGAGTCCTTTGAGGCTTGGATGACTTATTCAAAGAAGAATTAACTTTCACTTCAGCTTGCACCTCTTCCTCTTCTTCTTCTTCCACGGTGCTCATTTTGTCCATCACTTGTTGCGCAGCAACGGCAGGATGTGGATCACTCGATGGATGTATTTTTGTGCGCGACATTTTCTTTCTTAAAACACCAGACTTGCCTTTCGACCTGCTTCGCATTGACATGTTGCATGTACAACAAAGAAGAGAAGAAATTCGACGGATACTTCAATCTAAAATTTTATCAAAATATATGGGTTTGCCAGAATACGCCCGGATCACAAGCATGTGAACGCGCAGCATTTCATTCTCCCAATCCTGAGAAATATCGCATTTCACAATAATCCTTGAGAAGAAAAGGAAACGAGCATAGAAATTGATTTTTTTTTCTTTGATGCACGAGGACGTCTTTTCATGGCATTTCTTGCGGGTTGATCTAGTATGTTTGTTCAATTTTCAAATTAGAAAAAAAAACTAAAAATTACACTGCATTCACACAAAAACCCTGCGTTATTTGCTTCCCATTTTCAGATTTGACAGGAACTGTCACGTGCCAAACAAAAAATAAGGATAAAAATGGAATGCCACTCCAAGTACATCTTATTGAGATTAACCGGCGCTTGTTTTTGGGTAGGGTTTGAACTGCAATAATGGTTTGAACACTGTGCTAGGGCTTATACAGTTGAACCTCCCAAATACCTATACGTCAGAACTTTTCCAAGCTCCTCTCTGAATTTTCTCGGAAACAACTCAGTAACTCAAACACTTTCCCCATCAACCCTCCATAAGTATAATTTTCTGAAGACCTTCTGGCTGTTGTTTTATTGACAGAGGAAAAAGAAAAGCAATACAAATGTGACTTGATGAGATTTGAAAAAAAGTGAAAGACTAATTGGCAAATGAAATCTTGCCTCCAAGTTCAACATTCTGTCAACTCATTCAAGACGGGATTTAAGGCTTAGAATATTTGCGACAACAATTTCCTGCAATTCTTCCTTCTCTCCGCCCCAAAATAATCCTTGTTTCCCTAACTCGAAAACTCCCTATCTCGAATTTTTTTACTGGTCCCTGAACGTTCGACTTGAGAGGTTCGACTGTACTATACATCACGCGTAGATCATACTTTCGTTAAAACACGGGATGTTAACGCATCATTCACGAACAGTAGAATGGAATCACTTACATTTTCATGGATTTCGCGAGAGCCGCTTGGTCAATGCCATCTGGTTCAGCTCGATACGCGGAGCTGGACAGGAACCTCCTGACTGGCTGCTTTTTTGGTGGTAATTCCTGGCGACCAAGCGCGTAAGCAAGAGGATCCTCGCTCTCACCAAATCGTCGCCCACGCAAGCTCGTCCTTCGTGGACCTGTTCGCTCAAACAGACCGCTTTCTGGCTTCGGAGGAGAGAAACCACGCGCAATGCGCAATGGGTTCGGCGAATACCCGAACTTTTGTCGCGTTTCCAATCGAGCTTTTCCGGGTATCGGTGCTTTGTACTGTGAGAGATCAAAGGGGACGATCAAGATACTACTCAACAGGCGTAAAATTCAGGAAATGGTTGAACAAGTGGCAACGGTTTTCATTTTTCAAATACTAATCGAGGTTTCATGAAAGATACTGAATGATCAGAATAACTCAAAACCTGCAAATAAACAAATTATAACCGGAAGTTTGTGTTACACAACTTACGTTCACTCTATTCTCCCATCGCTTCTTCTCAACAACAGATGGCACATTGCCAGCGGGGACATGGAATAGTTTCGAGGTACACCAGTCTATGTGGCGATCTGCAGCTTTAGGCCCAAACCAGCGATCACAAGATGGGCACTGAACGTAGTTCACCGGGACTCTAGAGAAAAGATGAGTTTCGGCTCAAGATCAACTAAACAAGTACAAGGTTTCCTAACCTCCCAATGACCGCAGCCTCTGATTTCGCACGTGGGGGCTCATTTTCCAAACTGATTCTATTGGAGCGTGTTTTCGCCTTCGGGTTGATAAATCGATCCTTTAATCCCATCACATAACTTTTGGTTCTATTCCAAATGCGCTCTTGGGGAAGTTGAGAAAGAGGAACGTCTTTCGGGGCTTCAACTTTGAGAGGCACCGGACTGACAGGGTTGACCAGACACTTGTCTTGCTCGCTAATTCCGCTCAATCGTTGCTTCGCTGAATCGAACACAGGGCGTGATTTCTTGGAAACTTTCTTGCACACTTTCGCGTGACGAGAAAGTTTGTTGAATTTCCGGTTGCAATATGGACAAGGCTCCAGCTCTAGCAGTGCCTGAGCTGCATCGTCGTGTGCACCAATGTCGAGCGCTTCATACATGGTCATAGCTCAATTAAAATGTACATTCACAACCATAGCCGCAAAAGAATTAAAAAGAATACACTGTACACAGATTCTGGAAATAAAAATTTATCTATATAGTATTTTGAATCTGATAATACGCATCGGAAGACATCGCACAGCAGAAATACGTATCCCGTCATGATATATGATGCACAGGCTTGTTTTTTTGTCCCGGTTCGTCGGATTTCGAATGAACAGTTGCGAACTCTAAAATCAAAAAATACCTCACCGACAAGGTTTCACCTCGGTTCTTGACACATTAAAACAGGCTCATCACAAGTGCCAGATGGTCACTCCACCCACCTGTTCAGGTGTATGCGATATTCCGACACTTGATTCGCAAGAACAACGAAATTCACTGCGCGCAAATTTTCACGATTACAGAAAATACGGCTAAAATTTCGTTTCCGACAGGCTTTTCAACCTTCGTCTACCACGTGCTGAAGTAAACAATGCATTCTTTCCCGTCGACGCCTGCAACACCTGATGATGGAGAACATCTGTGCACAGGAAGACGCAGGTAAGCGGCCATATTATTTCAAGATCGAGGTCTCCACGATAGACGATTTTGAATAAATATCATTTTGATGACATCTGAGTGCTGCAGGTGCATATGACATACAATTTTGAAAACCAGATGACACTATAGAATGAAATGCGTCATACGCTGGCGTCAATTGCTCCTGATGCTGAACAGCATTCACGCTGGAAACCGCTCATGTGGACGAATTTCGAAATCATACACGCGTATACACGATGAGGCTTTGATGCTATTATATACATCAATAATAACAGCAGGAAAACAAGCAAGAGTAAAATGGAAGAATAATAAGGAACAGCTAGATTAATTGATCAATTGCATTAAACATGCATGCATTCAAATCTAATCAATAGATTACATGCCAGATGCCATGGCTCATCATATTGAGACAACCTTAAGAAAATCCTCACGAAGTTTTATGTACAATCCAAAATAGATTGGAATAAGCTGTTTGTATCATCATTGCTGGGAAAAAAAAATTCCGTGAAATATATACGAATCTACTGATGCTGTTGCTGAAGCAAATCTTTATAGACATGCAGCATAATCAAGAAAAAAGTTGATCATTAAGTGCCGTGATATGAGAAAAAAATTGATTACAAAATATTTGTGTGTCGTATAGCACTATACAGTATAGAGTATTGTATAAATAAGTCATGCAGGATGAATGGATACATAGATCATAAGATATTTTTTCGATTACGCATCCCCAAACTTGAGAAACCGGAAATATGACCGCGTGAATAAATTTAATTTTTACCAAACCAGAAAGTCACGCTTTTTTATTGCAATGCCCGGCACGGATAGAAATTATTTAGATTCCCTACTACACCGCGTCTTATTGCTGCACATTCCTCATCACCCCCCTCCTCCCGCATCAGCTATTGGCGGGTTGTTGTTCACTCATGTTGCTCCAGGGCACCGCCGAACTTCGTCGTGCGTGGTGGACCCTTAGTTCTGCGCCCGCGAAAGCCAGATGTGACGAACGCCTGCATGGCTTCATACTATTCTGTCTCAAATAAATCGCGATTTCATTGCCTGTGAGGCGTACGCATCCGTTGGATTTTGTGAGTGCTGGCAGGACAGGAACGGTTATTATGTCACAAGAATTTGACAATAAGTGATAATACCTGTACTGCACTGTACAGTATTTCATCACGATATTGCATGCTGGATCCGCACTCTTCGCCCGACTTGAAATTCCACGTGGGGATAAAGCATATGTATTATCGATTACGGTTAGTCTGAATCAACCGTGATTTCGATGTATGCATTAATCATCCGACTTCAAGTGATAGAACATAGTACTGTACAGTAAGTCCACTTTGCCATTTCGATCGGTCGATCAATCTCGCGAGATTTTGATGAGCTCCACGCGAACGTGCGCTTAGATGTACGTAACAGTATAGTTTAGTACTGTACAGTACTTCACCAATGAATAACGAATATTTAGTATTATAGGCATATTGGCATAATGAGGGCGATGGAAATAAAGTGAAACCCCGTGAATTTAGTGTTTGGACAGCTTCATATATTGGAGGCGTAACGAACGAAGTGGACTGTTCTTTTTTAAACGAATCCATGTGGTGACATCTTAATTTGCTCCCATCCTGGGCGCCTGCTGCATGCCTCACATACAGTACAGTATGTTATTGTGGAATATATAATTTCATGCTCTTGCGGATATATAACTCGTGGGACTGTATATCTGTATCAGCAATTATGGGTAGAAATTTTCAAATTAGACTGCTGTATGTATAAAACTCAGAAAATTTCGTGAATCGCTCGTGAACGATATCATGAATGCTTGCACTACAATACCGTTCGGTGTAAATTGTCATACTTTTTAATATCGTGGATTTCACATTTTCACCTGCGCAGTGGCGATCTCTCCATGCAATTTCCGGAGGATCGACTGCTGCAACGGACAGGCTGTATGTTATATAGGGTGCCCATATACGGTATATTGAGCCAGTTTCTTTAAGCGGTTTTCGATCGGTTTTGTTTTGTGCCTCTTTGAGAGACAAAGGAGTCGTGTATTGCTAGCATGCTCTCTTATTTGAAAGATGTCGTTCTCTCAGACAGTCATTACTGTTGTTCGGCGATCGAAAGCTAAATAAGTACGGTACTGTAGAATGAAGTCTTTCTACCTCGCTCGGATTCGAGGAGCTTTTTCTGTGCGTGATCAAATTTCACAAACCAACGATATATGCTTCAATAATTTCTTTTTGGAGCCCAAAAAATAGACCGTGGCTGTTTTTCATTAGCTCAATTTGAAGGCGAAGAAGCACCAAGTCCTTGATGAAGAATGCGCCGGGCCGATTATAATTTGTTCAATGGATTTTTTCCTAGGTCATATTAGTACCTCTTCCTTTTGTACAGTACAGTATATGAACCTCCGAGGGACACTTTATTCTTGAGCACTTCAGATGCATTGGATTGATGTGCATCCATAAACTAATGGCCATCGCTCATGAGGGGTGTATGATCGTGTATTCGTGTGAAGTGTTCTGCTTTGGACATTATGTGTACATCTGTTATTGATGCATGCTTTGGATTCCTTTTTTTTTTTAAATCAGCAGAGGAAACGTTTTGCAGTGACCGAATGTAGCCAGTGAGTGAGAAATAATGAACTTAACGAACGTGGGTTTTTTGGCGCTGCTAGTCTTGCTGTGCTCGAGTGGGTTATTATTTGTCCAATCTCGGAGCCCTCGCTTCGGGAAACAGCCGCACCCAGGTCGGATTGAGCATATCTATCCCGGCTCTCACGGGGATATTGTGCACCACCTGGACCCAAGGATTTTTCAGGGATCTGATGTGTAAGTGCCTTATTTGAAATTTCGATTCAATTCTTTCATATCCCATTTATCGCCCGAGTCCGTGGTTCTACTTTCAACCTGCCTATAGGTGTCGCGCCAGAGTTTTAAGAATCCGCTGAGTTTGTTTCAGGTCCCTTAATTTATACAGCATGCAGATGCAGTACTTGGATAAGGTACAGGTAGGTTCTTTTCGAAGCGCTTCGCTATACACGTCTGACTTCAAAAGATTAGGCAGCTGAAATGTGCAAGTTTCGAATGCCACTCCATCTTATTCAACGTGGAAGACAGGTCGTCGTCTGATTTTCTAAAATTTGCACAGAGAATCGTGATGCCTTCTATAAGATCAGTGGCGTCTTTAGAATTGCATTGCATCCACGATTCTTGTATGAACCATTCAAATTATTAAAATCTCATTAGACCATACTTTTTTCCCACCAAAGATCAGCGTTAGAACAATTCTAACTCGAAATTTATAGAACTGGCCGAGATCGTAGCGTAAAAATTAAAAAAGTATCTTTGACGCAATCTTTGCAAGTTTAATTTCGCATGAAAGAACATAAAGTCAGCATCTTTATTTTCCCGATTATCTTGTGATCGAAAGATTGACCCATTTCTGGGTATTTCATGGTCAGAATGTGACTGTAAAGATGCGCCTTACGAACTTATTTCCGGTTTGCAGGGTACGAAAAATGCTGGAGATGCTTCCATATAGGTATCAGAATCGATCGCGACTTACATTCGGGTGATTGAATAATGTGGGGTATACATATATATGTGCCAATCCCGCTACAATCATGTCGATTTTGAGACTGTGTTATGAGGCTGAAAGAATCTTTGAAGTTCGCCGCCTGAAGAAGAAATGGCTTGCCCTACTCAGCTACACTCTCCTGGAAGGAAATTTCGAACTTCGTGAGAGGCGAATATATGTAAGAACAGGTTGGCGGTCGTTGAACCGTGCAACTAAGCTTTAGTCTTGGCGTGGCGCGGTTTTGATGAAACGTTTCGTATCTTCGTTGGGCTTCGTGGAGTGAATTTTCACTCCGCCCGCTGAATTCGTGAGCTTGATCCGTCGTTACTCGATCGCCTTCAAGTCCTATTGTTTGGGACGAGACAAATCGACTGATGGTAATTAAGAACCAGTAACGTGTAAATCGGGTGTGACATTCTCGCCTTTTCTTGATTCCCTTCTGTGTGTTCGTGCTGACGATGAAACTCATTGCAAAATGTCTTCCAATGTCCAAATGTTTTTCATCAGTTGAACTCTCCTCGTTTCTGAAATGAATAAATTTTCCGCACCTCCGTTTTTCGACTCTGAAAAATCAACCTTCCAAAAGTTTAAAATAATTTTAGACTATAGGCGGTGAAAAAAGAACATTTTATTGCAATATTTTCGTGAACGTGTTAGCGTGTGGACAAATTCAATCTCGTTTGCCATTGGAGTGTTGAAAATCGTTTCCTGATGATTTTCGATTTTCTGCTGTCCACGTATCGCGTCGGATTTCATAAATTATAATCCATTGCTGTTTTGGTTGAATTCGTAGAACTCGCGACTTGTTTCCGATTTCTGAAATTATGGTTGTGTTTTTCGTTAGTGTACACTGTACAGTATACTGTATAATCGAGATTTCAGAGTTAGCAAGATATCATCGCTCTATTCATATAACTTTTGTTCTCAGCCGTCACCTTTTGTAGAAAATTGTA